GGGGATTAAACGGGATTGGAAAAAAATGGGTTCCCCCCCGTTTTTAAACCGGGGGTTGTTAAACTTTTCCCCGGTTTGGGGAAAAAAATGGGAAGTTTTTTGGGGTGGGGGGGGAGGAAATTTTTTTCCCCCCGACCAGCTGAAAATTTTTTTGGGAAAACAATTTCCAAACAATTTTCCCTTTTGTAAAAATTTTTTTAAAAAAGGCAAAATCCCCCAAAAAAAACCAGGGGAAAATTTTCCCGGGAAAATTTTTGGGGGGAGGGTTTTTTTTTCCACCCCCTCTTGTCCCATAAGGAAAAATTTTGTCCCAGGGGGGGGGGGAAGACCCTGGGGAACCCCGTTTAAAAAACGGGGTTCCCGGGCAAAAGAAAATTCGTTTTGAAATGGGTTCCCGTGTTTCAAGGGTGGATATCTTTTGCCCCCCCCCCCCCCCCCCCCCCGAACCATTATTTTGGCGGGGGTGCACCGTCACTATGTACGCCTGCAACACGGGTGCGCACCAGCCCCCAAGTGAACGAAGATAGGCCCAATTAGAGGGGCAGAGAGCTTCTTCAACTACATACAAGTACATCTGTCGTCGTTGGGTCATCCTCCACTTCTCATGTGCTGCGTCTGTTGTGCATGGGCCGCGGCCCTGAATTCGCGCCTGCGACTACTGCGCAGGAACTAACACAGTTGCATCCAAACCACCGTGGGTCTAGACGTTGGGAACAGCAGCAAGCCAGCCCCCCGCCTTTGCCGCAATCTACAACCAACCTGCTCCGCCTGGCAGGGGTAACTGGTATGATCACAAGGACCGAGTGACGATCGTATCATCCATCATCCTTAGCAAAAACGCGCAACAAGCGACCGCGCGCGGCTAAATGCAGCAGCTGTAACTACACTTACCGCGCCAACAGCTAGGTCCGCCCCGTGTCCCGGCCGTACACCGGGCATCGATCCCCCTGCCCGGCACTGCTGCTGGGTTCCGCGGCTCCGGGTGCTTATGCTCCTAGCCTGCGAGGATGATGCCGGGGCGGAGGGACGGACAAAGGCCTCGCTCGAAGAGGCTCCACTGCTGCTGCTTTGTCCCCCAGATCCCTCCCACCTTGGCGACGGGAGCGCCGCGTAGGAGTGCGACGGAGAAGTCGACGGGGACGGCCTGATGCTAGGGGATCCGGAAGCCGCTACAGCAGCAGAGAAGGCGGCGGTGCGTTGTGGCACAACAACGCTTGTCTTGTTGCTGCTGATCGAGCTGCTGCTGCTGCTGCTGCGGTTCTCCGATGATGTTGCCGCAGTTGAGGTTTGGTAGAGAGTGGGCGATTGCTGCTGCTGCGCGCCCGCCGCTGCCACTGCCGCACCGCGCCGCGGCCTGGTCGACCCTGGTACGGCCCTCCGAACGACCGTCAACATGCCCCGAATGAGTCTGCTGCTCCTGGGATAGGCTCGAGGTGGGACGAAGCAAAGAGCAAATGGAGGAAACATCCGAATTTTCATGCAACACGCCTACACGATAGCCGGGGTCGAGGGGACGTTGGCGCACCCTGGCCCCGGAAAAATGCACATTGGCATGATCAGGGAGCGTTGGCGGTGGAACTTGCTGACCAATAAAAACATTTCGATGTTCGTTCGTCGCTGTACCTCGAGGTCGGATACTGCTGTAGCTGCCCAATGTGACAAAACATATCTACCTACACTTTGCACTAGGGTACGCGTTGGCGGCGGTACTGAAGGGTCCGCATCTTTTGCTTTTTGCATGATGGAGGTCAAGCAACAAGAGTAGCAACGTCGATTGTGGTCCGTCATTATTATTCGTCCGTCTGTTGGCCTGGGTCTTTGATCTTGTCTTTGCAAAGCGTGACAACTATCATCAATCAATGCGCAACAATACCAATCTGCAGAGAAGTGAGGTCTACGTATGTAACATACCTACCTGGCTGATGATACTACTGGTAAAAATATGTGGTAAGCAGATGTGCCGAGCTCTCTTCTTGTTGCAAAAATGAAAAACTCTCTGTACAAGACTGACAGACTGGAGCAAGAGGCAATGACTCCCTCCATGCCCCACCCGTCGGTGTCAGTCTCGTTCTTTCTCTCAGGAGCCCTTTGATCATCGGCGTGCATGTATTTGATGTGACCTTCAAGTCAAGGCAGGAATCTACCGGCGGAGCGTGATCGATTGTGTCGCAGGAAAAGACAGGGTTGACCAAGGGATTGACACGAAAAAACTACCAGCCCTCCGCTCTCTGCGTGTTGTGTGTGTCGTGCACCACACCTACTTCCTTCGGGGTCCACAGGCCATCAATACACAACGCGCCCGCACTTGAGAACTTGGTAGCTAAGAAATCGAGCCTAAAAATACTCCAAGTCCAAGCACTTGAGCACCACTGTGAGCTCGGTTTAGAACCCCTACACTAAAACCAATACTATAGCGGATATTCGTAGAAAAACCCTAGGAACTACTGTAAGAACCCGCGAGCCTCGGCCAAAACTACTGTATGTAGAGGTTCTTAACCCTTTTCGGCCTACAGACGTACTGACTGATCATCGATTGTTCATTTGCAAATAAATGCTTGTGAGGAGACAAGCCGTGAAGTTCCCGCCTTCTGTAGCCCTCCACGCCGGGTGTTGGGAAGTCCGCAGGTGATGTGTCTAAAGTCGTTGCATCGACCGCGCTAACCAGCTGACCACTGAAATGGCGTCAGTCCCAGCGGGTAAAACCTACTGTATACTGTGTATGCTGCATCAATCTTTTTACAATCAATCTTGATCGCACATACATTTCCAAAGATGAGCAGTCATCGTGTCAGCCGTTAAACTACACAATAGCAGCAGTGTAGACGAGTCCAACAAAGCAGCATAGACGCCATGTAAATGTACATACATATATATACATCATACTGTAGCTCCACACCTACCCTCGCCCGAACCTAGGAAGCCGCTACGTGTGCGCGTGCTGGTGTGCTGGTGTGCTGGTGTGATATGGGAAAAAACAGGAGCTCTAGTGAGCCGGCAGGGCTCACATAAGGGGGGGACAGAGAAGAACAGAAGTGAAAATACCAGCTAGCTGTGGCCCTTCACTGATCATTTGATTGATCATTACCTGAAAATAGAGTAGTTGAGGCAACTACAGTAGATGACTGATCATTTCAAGGTCTACAAGGCTACCTGCCCTACTGGCGGCAGCGTGACCACCATCACCCCTTCTGTGACTTTGTCTGCGGCCACCACCCTTTCGCGGGCTGCCCGCATGGTCTATAGGTGGAGATAACGGTTCCTCTACGGAAGTATGTACACGTCGACTTTATTTTCTCTTTTATTTTCTGCGGTGGGAAAAATGTTTGACGCCGAAACGGAACCTAAGGTCAAAGGGGTTAAGGGTACGCAAGGTTCCTCACAAAAAAAACGCTGTAAACAGGGGATGGCGTTTCGCAGAACCAAACGAACAACTTGGATTCAAGAGTAGTATAGGATTTGCCCCGAAACAGTGTGGAGACCACCTTCATAAAGGTAGAAACTCCCCAACGTCTGTCTGTCGAGGACGATTCTCTCTTTTCACAATGGCGTCGACGTGAGATGTCAGGGTGTCTGCTTTTGGTTGCAAAAGACACGGGTTCAAAACCCGCTGGTCACCAAATTTTCTTCCGGAAAACGGAAAAAGAAAAACGGTGGGTGGGCCATGGAGGACGCACTGGCTATCGAACTCGGAACTTCTGAAACGTGGCGGACGTAGCGAATCCGTAAAACACGTACAGAGGATTGTGAGGAATGTGAATCGCCCCGCCGCCAGCCGGTCGGTCGGGTTCCGGTTGGGCCATGGAGGACGCACTGGCTATCGAACTCGGAACTTCTGAAACGTGGCGGACGTAGCGAATCCGTAAAACACGTACAGAGGATTGTGAGGAATGTGAATCGCCCCGCCGCCAGCCGGTCGGTCGGGTTCCGGTTACCCCAAGAAGACTTCTCTTGCCTGGAAAACAAGAAAAAGGCTCGAAAAAAGGGGGGGGTAATGTGGAGACCACCTACATAAAGGTAGAAACTCCCCAACGTCTGTCGAGGACGATTCCCTCTTTTCACAACAGCAGCATTTATTTATTGGGGGGGGTGTACTCATAGTCGCGTGCATGCCGTACATAATAATAGTCGTTAGACCATTACCATTGACCTCGCATCCCTATACAGCCTGGACGGAGCACGCCGGGTTCTCACCGGACCAGGCTCTCACTTCACCAAGCGCGAAGCGCCGTGAGGTAGTCGGCGAGTCGCATATAGGGTGCGCTGCATACTGCTACGGGTGTTCGGCATCTTGTGCTTACTTGCTCCTTGCATACGGATGACAGCTAGCTGCGAATGACTTGATATGTTTTCTGGTGCTTTCACTTCCAGAGACAGTTATGAGCACTGCTGCTGTGTAACTGCCTCGAGGGCGCTTGACCAATTTAACGCGACGTGGAGCGATCATCCCCTTTGCGCGGAGTGAGGGTTCTCGACCCCGCACAACATGATCTACCCGACCACCATTCATTCATTATGGTCACCCCAAAAAATTCGAGTAAAACAAAAAAGCGGAAACCTGGTTGCCGAGCTCACGAAGTGATCGGCTTGTTTTTTTTCAACGTTGTTGTCAAGCAACGAAAACTAGCCAACCCCGGTGGCAAACAACGGGTGGGCGGGGACAAAAAATAGGCAGAAAAATAACATCTGTTTTATAACCTTTAGCGCCGTAGATCGAAAAGTCAAACTGTGCCAAATCCAAAGTCTCTGCATGGTTCTGCAGATTGAGAACACCTGCGGTGAACCAGCTACATTTATTCACGTTCAATCCGTATGTTGATCGGGCGTACACACGTATGTACGTCCGTGGAGAACGGCGGCGGCGCGTCACAGGACCCAGAAGATCGGGCAATTTGGCGAGATTTCGGGCTGCTGCTGCATTCAAGTACGTACATACTCTGTAATAATACAGGTCGCGCGAACACAGCTCCGCGAACACCTCCAGATAGAATCGTTTCTAGTTGTCTGTTGCTGCTGCTGTCAAGTCATTCGACGCCACTCACCCACCATATCGATCGGTAGGCTTCGGCAGTTTCGAACATTAAGTGGTGGTTGCTTGTGACGTGCTGCTATCATAGCGGTCTGCAACTGAAGCACGTTTTGCCGCGCTGGTTCACCCAAAAAAATATCGGCGGCGGGAAGACTGTGCTCAAATTGCATAACTTCAAGCACCTCGATCTCGAGCTGCAAGGCCTAAATAACAGTTTTGATCGACGGGGTTGCTCAAGTTGGCATGATTTCTCCAAAAGGTGTAGAGGTTTGTGTCCCACAGGGTACAATTGATTTCAGAGTTTAGAGTACAAGTAGTCGGCGGGGGCACCGCTCGGGGATTATTTTTTCTAGCAGTTTGATTTGTGATAAAACAATACATATATATGTGCGGGCGCGTTCTGTAATAATATTGTAATGCCTATCTATGCATACAACAACAGAAACCACCCTCTGTCTGACAGCACGTGCATGCTGTGTTGAATTGCCCAAGTTGCATTGATGTCCCAACGTTGTCATTCGATATCAGTTTTAGTGTGTCGTTCACGGCTTTGGGTGACAGACGATGCTCCGATGATGTGCGTACGGACGATGCTCTGATGATGTACGTACGTACATAGTCCGGTGGTTAGGTATAGTCCCTGTGGTGTTATATGTTTCGAGAGCGACGAAAAAGTCAAATTTTGATTGGTTCGCACTGTTCCTCCGTGGTCCTTCGGTCCACGCCGACTGATGCTCTTGCACACGTCCTCTCAAAAACGAGTGAGACAAACAAACCCCGCATGCGCGAAACCCCATCGACGCGAACAACAACACCACCACTACCAGTTCACCCCCCGCCAACCGTTCATCAAAAAGACCCAACAAGACTAAAATCTTCCAAATCGGACAAAGGAACTGAACCGTGTGGACACGCAGCCCCGCAAATATGGCCCTACAACTGCTTTCCACGTTTCGACTGTTTCGCGGCTCGTGCCGCACAATGAAACCCCCATCAGAGCTCATGGTTCAGTCGAAACGATGAACGTACAGGCCGTGAACAACACCGCGTATCTATTTGTTCAGAATATTAAGAAGAAAAATTACAGGACATCGAAACACAACCGACTTTTATGGTATTGCCAAACACACGCACATATATATATGTGTCTATCAGAAACCTATCAGAAGCTGCGTGACATGAGCCTACAGCACCCTCGCAGCGGCGGTGCAGCAGACCAAGAACAAAGAGACTTCCCCACGCCCCCCCGCTCCCAAGAGCTGCGTATAACAGACATACATGCGCGCGGCGGCTTGTGGCCCTTTTCCTTCCTTGCTTTACAACGCCAATGTTTCCAACTACGGTCAACGCAAATGCGCACTCTAATGTACCAGTTTATTGTTTTCTTCCCCGCCTGCGTAACAGAATAAAGCAACTCTCCGTTCAACGCCAATACGCACTCTAATGTACCAGGTTTTATGTTTCTTCCCCGCCTGCGGAACAGAATAAAGCAACTCTCATGGTTCGCAGCGCTTGGATTCATCCGTTACCACGCTCCTGCTTTGTATCCCCTGCTTCCATTTTCAGGGAGCAACCTCGCACCTACCTCACCACGGAACGGTCGGAATACGCACGCAAACGTGAACCGTTCAAATAAAAAACCCACATCCGACCTGTTACTCCTTCGGACGTTTGTACCTACATGTTCTTTAGGAGGCAGAACTCACTGAAACCTTCCTCTCTCTCGAGAGGAACAAGAGATTAACAAAAAATAAGTAGGCAAGCCAGTTCCGGTGCCACCGTCGTAACAAACGCGCTCTAGTCGACATCGTCGACACGGAAGCAACAAAACTTCCCGGGCAATCAACAAGGATATGTCCTAGAGGCGACAAAAAAGTATAAAAGATAAAAAACGCGAACAGTCCAAGAACAAGAAACAAGCAACAAATACTCGGCAAAAACAATTGCCATGTTCGGGGGAAAACTGCCGTTCCTCTTCTCCTCCGTCGCAATTAAACCTTTCCCAACTCTGGGGTCAACCCCGCCCCCAGCTGGTTATGCTTGCCCGCGGGAGACAAAAGAGTCGGTCCGGCTACCCCCATCTTCTGGTGGAGCTCATGTCCTCATGAAGGTATCCCTTTAGACCGAGATGGCCTGGGGGACTTTCTTTTCCTGTTCAATCACCTGGTCGGGGCGAAGGATAGCCTCCCAAGTGACAGTCGCGAGGACACCGCCGAGGAGGGGACCGACCCAGAATACCCTGAAACGGGAAGAGGCGTTTTGGGGGAGGAGAGACACAAATGTTGAGATGAAATAGGTAAATATGCACTTTGGGGGGCGGTCGGAGGACAAGCCTGGTTGGCGCAAGTTTGAGCGTTGGTTGGTTTTCGAGACTCGGAAAATCCTGGGTAGTTGATTTTTCGAACAAAATTGGGAGGTCAAGAGAGAGATACGCGACGAACTCCAAGTGCCATCTCAGCATACTCCCCGCACCGGCCAACGTGTCAAGAGAGATATCGCAACGAACTCCAAGTGCCATCTCAGCATGCTCCCCGAACCGACCAACGTGTCCAACACATCAAAGTTACATGTCCATGAGACGGCCACAGCCACGCGACAAAATATGCTTACGTCACATCAAAGTTTCATGTCCATGAGACGACTACAGCCACACGACAAAATTTCCTTGGGTCCCGCCAGAGTAGAGTTGGGAGCAGCACTCTATTATTCCTACATAGAACGAGAGCAACAGGAAACGTCACCTACCCCAAGCAGACAACAACGCAAGGCATCAAAAGACACACGCACCAGTGGTCGCCCCACTCGTTGTTGGTGACGGCCGTGGCGAAAGAGCGGGCAGGGTTGATGGAGGCGCCGTCGATGGGGATCAATACCAGGTGCGCTGTGGGAGGGTGAGCGAGCAGCGAACCGTGCGAGCGAAGCGGCAGGCAGGGTGTTAAAATGTAGCACAAAAAAACGATGGTGGGCGAGGTCACTCGTGCGGAGATCAATCGCTCCCAATCAGGCGCACCACACCCAAGCGCCGTAGCGCATCCACGTGGTATCAAGGGTATATACCACACCAAAGAACGCATCCACGAGGCTAACCACTCCTCCGGGAAGCGACAACCGCAACCCATTTGACCACAAACGCCAAGGACCCCTGATTTGCACCGCAAGACACGAAAGAACCAGCGCGACAAACGTGTCCTCCTCTCCTCCTTACCGAGGAGAACGGCCATCCCGATCACGAGGGGAAGGAGGGGCCCGGTGTGGGCGTTCTTGCGGCCGAGCTCCCCGTCGCAGGCGGCGAAGACAGTCACCACCAGTAGGAAGGTGCACAGAACCTCAGCTCCGAAGGCATCGGCAGCCTGCGACAATGCAAGCGGATGGGGCGCGGCGGACAGGATGGGGGTGGCGTATGTCGGGTTCGCGATGTTCTTGAGACTTGGTGGTGGGAGGTGAGGTTACGGGGGCTTGGAAGATGTTAATACAAGACTAGGTGCCGATGATGTGGTGGTGGTCGGACGTGACTACTGTTGACCGGGAGCCACCGTGTCAGTCGAAAGGGCCGTCCACAGGACTGGAGCCAACAGCCACGGCACACTCTCGGAGACACGCAACGCCACCATCAAATGCAGTCGCGTCTCTCTCGCTCCGTCAACCCAATCGGCGTCTCCCTCGCTCCGTCAACTCAAATCAAAGGATCCTAATAACCGCCAAGCCAACTCCACAAGAAATTACCCAACCAACGGACTGCAACAACCGTCAAGCCAACTAAAAAAAAAGCAAAGGAAAAACACGCAACACATTTCGTCTACCGATTTGACGCCTGCACGCACCGAGACGGTGTCGGCGAGCGCATTGTAACCGCCGCGTGTGCTGCTGAGGAAGGTGGAGGCGATTCCTGCTCCGGCAGTAGCCCCTGCCATCTGGTACGACGAGGGAGAGGAGGGAGCAAACAACGAACCGCAGAGAAGGGTAGGGGCGCGTCACAAGGACGGACGGAGCACAAGACAAAAGTCTGTCGCGTTGATCTTCTCAGCAGTGGCTGACGACGTGACTGTGCATGCAGCCTTCGGGGCGAGGTGTAGCCGTGAAGGGACACAAGGCGGGGCTTTCGATAGCGAAGACCAACCCTATATTCACGTGCTCAAATGGTTTGCGCTGGTAGGTGTGGAGCACAAGTCAATACAGCAATATAGCGTACCAGCTTTGGAAAAAACCAACATGCAGGACAAGAGCAAGATGACAAAACTCACTTGAGCAATAACGTAGAGGAAGAAGCGCTCGACGCTGATCCGCTTGCCGACGAGAAGACCAATGGAAACGGCGGGGTTGAGGTGGGCGCCTGAAACGTCCGCGAAGATGTAACTGCCATGTCGATTCGAGGCAAAATCACAAGGGACGAGAGTTATTTCACAGATAGATGTAATATTGATTTGTTCAGGTTACGTTATGACCCGACACACGAGCTTTTGTGTTTTTTACCCCGCCCTGTGCGCACGCGTCTTTTCGTTTAGGTGCCGGGGCCGCGTTATTATTTTCCACGAACTTCGCAGCTCTTATCCGTGGAGGAGACGAATGGTTGTGTCGCAAGTGAGAAAAAACATTTACAAGAAATCGCTGAGACACTTACACGAGTACGAAGATGGACAGGCCGAAGGCGGCCGAGATCATGAGGATGTTGGCAGTCGCCTCTGTCGTGATGCCTTCTTGGGTTCGATCGTCCGAAAACCGGGCAACGGTGATCACTGCGAGGTGGTTTCAAGTGGTCGGGGAAGGCGCGAGACCGGGGCGGCGTTTAGGGCGGGGTGGACCATGAAAATCAACAACCGTTTCAGAACGTGCAACGTTTACATAAAGAAGAGCGAAAGCCTGGATGCTGATCTTATCACCATCGCGATTGTAGGGCGGACTTGTCTTCACCATATGGCGCAGTCTACCCTCCAGACAAAAATCAAGACAATAATGACACGGTGTGCGACATTCTTGGAGCAGCGAAGCGCGTTGGCATGCATGCGCAGACCTGACGCAAGGGCCGTGTGCCCTCCGTAGAAAGGCTAGATACAGCAGCTGCGGCTCGACAAATATAAATGTCTGCAAACAAATCCTTGGGCGGTTAAAAAAACCTGGGGCCAAAGTTTAGGTACCAGCACAGCCGTCACCGACCCTTATCATTTAGACTATATCTATGAAATGCGGGTGTACAGCAGCAGTAGCTCACACAACTAGCCAGCAGCATGGGCGGGCGACCAGCAGTTTCAGGGACTGGGTTTGTCCATGACGGCGCCCAGCAAGAGTGGTACACGTGGACGGTATCCTTCTATGGACCCAGCATGCCAGGTTGCACCTAGGCCAGATTTAAGTGACGCTTCCGCCCGCGGGTGCACGCTTCCAAAAGCGTGGCCCATCAGGTCTGGGCGTGTACCAATGCGCAGGTCGCCGCTTCATCAAAAGCCACCTTCTACTGATTTCCCTTCGAAAAGAACTTTGCTCCCAGAGATTGTACTGCTATAGACTATGCCATTACATTTTGCTCCGAAAATTGTCTTGGGTTTATTACTGAAGCAGCAGCTGATTTACTGCTAACATCATGTTCGCTCATGTCATGTGAACACGACCAGACCGATGAATCGCCAAGCTATGACGACGGAAAAATATTTGCACATACATGAATGGGTAGTCTTTCTGTGTGTGTTATTTATTATTCCTTAGTACTGTACGCATACAAGACAGGGTTGCAACCCTGTCTTAGGCACAAGGAGATCCATCTCGAATGGGGGGTCTATCTGTGTTTGTATGTATCTCGGAAAATAACAATGCGGAAATTAGTTAAGGAGACAGGTCGGAAACTCGGAATTTCCACACCTCCTGCAGTACCTGCCATGTGTCATCACTTGAAATCAGCGCTCACGGCACTAAATAGTGCCGTTTACTCCAACCCGTGGTCACACAGAAGAGCTCCTTCTCTACCCTCCCCTCCTGCGGTACTTTGGCTTCTGTGTACATGTATACACACGAAGTAGGGCTATCCATTAGGCCAGGAGCGGAAGCGAGAGAATAACTCACTTTCCAAGAAAAGCTCGCTTACGCCTGGATTCGAACCCCTGACCTAACCTGTAGAAGTTTCGAGGATACCAACTAGACCACGGGTGCGACCGTGTATGCAGCCCTCTGGACCCTACATGAATGTGCTATGCAGCCTTTCCAATTTCCAATAGCCCGACAGAACATAATCCAAAGGAAATACAAAAGTTACAATAGTTTCGGTGAATTGATATATCTTTTCCCAAAACATCGGCATAAATCTTCCGACCTCATCCGTCATCAATTTATCTACAGAAGCCTTCCTGCCTCATCAAACAGCCTCTCATCGGGATAATTTTTCGGCGCTTTTGGGGCTTTGACTGCTGTCGCATCCAGCCAAGCGAGAAGTGCCCGTGGGGGCAACAATCGCCGCCGGCACGCTGCATGCGCCCCAACAATCTATTGGGATGAGCATTCTGTGACGCATGGAGCAACAACAACCAGTCACGGCCAAAGAGAAGGATCCCACGCGCGTCGTGTGGTCTCCCTCCTCATCCACGAAACATAAAAACAACACACAACAAAAAAACATGTTGCGCCGCTCCGCTTTTTTTTTTTCGGTCGAGAGACAAACAAACAAGAGAAGAGAGCCCCACACGTGAAACATGTATGTTCGCGCCGACCTCTCTGTATCAACAATCTCGTTTCGGGAAGGTCTTTCGGGCTACGGGGGCATCCATCAAGTCTGTTTTCTGGGTACGACACGCAATGGTCGTGGACGATGGCGACATGACTTACGACCCAAGTCAGCGGACCTTGCGGCCTGACGACGTGGTTGGTGATGAACAATGGATGATTTTGAGGACCCCAACCACATTTGTTTCCGCGCGGCGCGGAAGGACAACGAATGGAAGGGTGTGCTGCTGGGCCCGTGCTACATGTGGTACGATAGGGTTGGGCGTTCGCCGCCTTTTGGACACGCGAGGCAGGTACACACATGTGTAACCCACACAATAACTCATTCACTCCACGCGTTTCGAGATACGAGATCCCTGCCCAGTGTGAGAAAAACAAGATCTCCAAACCAGAGTGTATTATCTCCAACAGGATTGAGTGCACCAGCCGCAGTGAGTGGCGAAACTTCATTCACCCAAATCCAACAGAAGTGTGTCCTGCGACAACCCCTTTCCACACGCAAACGTTCGCTTCCGCTTTCCAACGCTGAGCAGCGGCGGGTGCCACGAACAGCGGCATGCGAAGATTGATGAAAATCGTATCTGAGGATCGCATCCATTTCTAAAAAAATCCGGGATGGAATGCAGCTGCTGCTACACATACGCACACAGCAGTTGGTGGTTGTGCCATCGATGTCTACCTTCACTCACCCATGAACAAGAAGAGCATGCAGCCCAGGAACTCTCCACACACGCTGCAGGGACGCGCGTTAGTGAGGGGGTGGGGGAAGGTAAGCATCGGGGCAGGATGCACTGGGGCCATGTCATACAACGGCTTTATGGCGCCAGGCACAGCCGGCTGCAGGGGGAAATTTTAGGGACTGGCCAAGACTGGCGTAGATTTTCATCCCACCCTCCGTCGCACCTGCGGAAGAGCCTGTATCCAACGAAGGGCTCCGTCGTGCCGTTCTCCTGGCGGATCTGGGCCTCGGAGGTCAGGCCGAGCTCCCACTCACGCTCTTTCATCTAGGAGGGGTACAGAGGCCACAGGCAGCATTGGAGAACGAGGAGCGACGTAGCGACTCGGGTCAAGTTCAAAATGGATTTGTGTTGTACTGCTGTATGCGCGTTTTGTATTATAGTGAAGAAGGTGATATATGGCGGGAAGAGACGCAAAAGGGCGCGGCATGAATGCCAACAACTCCCCCCGAGCACCACCAGAGCACAACGCCGGCCAGCTTTTCAAGGCCTTGTCATGCGTTGGAGTCGGAGGGCGCGAGGGCGAGGGAGGGCACCAACACGAAAAAGATCTATTTTGCGTCTGATTCCACCCTTTGACCCTTCCCGCGATTTTCGGCTCAGTGCATCAAAGAAAAAAACACCCATCTGCACAACAACCACCACAGCCGAAGCCCTGCGGCAGCACGCGGATGCACAACAGAACCCTCACAAAGAATATTTACCTGAGTCTGTGCCATGATTGCTGTTGTTGATGTCGCAAAAGGTGACGAGGGGTTGGCCTGAGGAAGCGGGCGGTGTCTTGAGCTGGGGATGTGAGAGAGAGTGGGAAGAGGAGGGGGGGAGAGCGAATGCGCGCGGCCGGGGTGAAAGATTGGATTTTTGATTTTTGGAAACGCATTTTCTTTTTTTCGTCAGAACACGCCAACCTGAAGGTCGGAACATTCTCATGTGTGTGGTCTGCGGATAGATCCCGCCGCAAGATGCCCCCTCGCTCCTTGATGTTTCTCCCCTGCTGCCACCACGGGCATCTGGCACGAAAAGGAAGGAAAAAGTGGAGCTACATAGTGTGGTATGCATACTACTGCTGTCGTACTCGCATCGGAAACACTTTGACATCGCTCGACACATACATACATATACACATACCTCTATCATACGTCGTATCGAAAATTGCACAGAAGAGCAACTGCTGAACATACCACGTTTATCGATGCATGCATTTTGTCCGCAGAACGATGTCGCAAGCAGACTACACATGGACGCCTCCTCGTTGCCGCATCATCCTTGCCACGCCGTGATTCGTGAGTAGTGCACCTTTCTTTGCGATTGTGTATGCATGAAAGAAAGATTTTGGAGCAGGTGCCTCCCAAGAGCCGGTTCTAGCTTGGTTCTAGAGGGGGAGGGGGTTTCTTCTTACAAAGTCAGATTGCTCAAGGTGTCAGTAGACGATCAATCTACTGCTTGCTGTACCACTACAGGATGTTTGTACGTTTACTCGCAGCAGAGGCTAGTCTGGTAGTCTTTATTCCACGCATTATTGTTCTCTGGTCTACGTAGACCATTTTGTAGATCTTTCTGCTGCTGTGCATGATAGCACGGCAGGCATTTCAAGAGTTCGATTGTGTGGAAAAAGTATCTTGCATGTATCTTGATCACATATATATCTGAGGTTGCTTGTGACCCGCGGGCATCCGTCTTGATGGTGTGTAAAGTAGACGCTGTGCATACGGTGGTCCGAACGGGGTGGTATTGTGTACATGCATTCTGCCGTACGGCGGCGTTGTACTCATTCATTGTCTGGAACAAAAGAAGTAAGTGCTGTTGTGCGGAGGCAGCAGCCGTGAGAAACGGGGGCGAGCGATGCTGGAGACAGAGGGAGAGAGAGGCGAACGGGGGTTCAACACAGGGTCAAAAAACTTCCACCTCTCCCTGGTACAGTATATCCCCCTGCAAACTTCCCTGTTCCACCCTCCCCCTTGCTGCCATTGGTGCAAGGCCGTCTCCGTGACGATTGTGCCGAATCGTCATCATGAATGTATGTGTAGGGGTCGGGGTTCACCACATGGGCACAACTGTTGTTACACTTCCGCCCCTGTGGCAAGTTGCCTGTGGACTCCCCTGCAAATTTCCCTCCTCCACCCCCCCCTTGCTGCCATTGGTGCAAGGCCGCCACCATATAACAGAGAACTCCGTGACGATTGTGCGGAATCGTCATCATGCATGTAGGGGTCGGGGTTCACCACAGAGAGCGAGGCACAACACTTCCACCCCTGTAGATTCCCCTGCAAAGTTCTCTCCCCCCCCCCCCCCCTTGCTGCCCATTGGTGCAAGGCCCCA